CCCCAAAACCCCAAAACCCCAAAACCCCAAAACCCCGGGGTGCTCTCAGGCTATTGAAAAGGAATTGTTGTTAAGAGATATTTATTAGGGATATTATTTGGGGTGGGACACCTTGTCAAACCAATTCATCGAAGAGACGTGGGTGCTTAATCAAAGGCTTGAGTAGTTTGCAGGGTTGTTGGATATTGAATTGGGAGTAGAAATACATCATTTTATCGTCCCCTAGAGTCATTTGTATTTTGTAGAGGAGTTTTGAGAATATCTCGAAGATGATGTCGATTCATTGGCTGTCGTCTTCTAATTCTGAAATCATCTTGAATTCAGTCTTTTTAAGGACTCTTTCAAAATTTCCGATATCGTGGAAGATGAAAATAAAAAAAATCAAATCAGTAAGCGCGTTACCAAAATTAGGAAGTTCTGCCCCTAACTGAGGAATTAATTTAAAATAACTAGCTAGGCCATTTTCTACGTCCTGGACAGAGAAAATTTTACTTTGGAAAAGAATGAGGAAGTATGAGGGAAAGCAATCATAGTTTTCTTGACCCAAGAAAAACACTGATTTCAAGTAAAACAATAGAATCTGTTCTCCGTAACTTCACATTGTAAATGAGAGCATGAAGTCAATGCTGCAGTGATAGTATTTCACCCAGTTGAAGAACAAAGACATTAGTACCATCTGAAAAGCTCTTGGTGAAATATACCCGAATTCAGTGGGCAACTGTTTAGTTTCTTCCCAAACAGATGGTTTTTCAATAGAATCTTCAGGGAAGCAATATGCAAAACCTCCAGCTTTCCAGCAAGACATCTTCAATATTAGAGTCACTATGGTCAATTGCTTTAGTCTCGGAGTTAAATCTTTTCTATTTTTATAACTGTCCAGAATATCCAACGAGCGATGGTAGACTTCCAGAATTCCTGCAAATCTAAATCTTATACTTTCTTCGACGCCATCTTTTAGGTTGGCTGATATTTTCTCATCAAGTTTGAGTCCGATATCTTGCAAGAATAAACAGGTTGCTATTATTGTGGCTTCAGACTCTTTAAGTTTAAAATTCTCAGTTCCACGTCCTAACAGAACATGAAGTGTTTCGATTTCAAAAAAAGCATTAAGCAAGTTGTGTTTAAATAGCTCGCCTTCTAGTCTAAGATAGGAAAACAATGAACTATAGCTTGATAAATTATTTATGTTGCTCTGAACATTCTCGCTGGTATTGCTCTTTCATTCAATATCTTTCGACAATTTTGTTAAGATATCTTTGAGAATAAATCTCAAAGCTTGAGTGAGTTCTTCTTCAAAATGTTCTTGCTGTGCTTTCTCATTAAACTCTTGGCTTTGTTGTTTCTTCAATTCCGTGAATCTTTCAGATTCTCTTTTACTAATTTCTCATAACAGTGATCCATACATTAGCACTCTATCTTTCTCTTCAATTGCCTTTGTTAAAATTGTAACTACGAACACTCTTCTTTGAAGAGTTCCTGATAGTGATATGAGAAGAGTGTCCAGATCGTGTTTATGAGAGTCTTCAATTTTTGTAGTAGCTCCACTAAGGATAGTTGTGACTTTGTTTCTAATAGAAATAATTACATCTAAAGATAACGTTTGTGGCTCTTCGATGCTTTTTGAAGTTTTGGTAGTATTTTTCACAGAAGTTGTAGACTGAGATGTTGGCTCGGGTCTGGGCTCTAATTGAGTTTTCCCGGAAAGATTTTCATAATTTGGATATATTTCGAGCTCTCTTTCCCAACTTTCTTTCCACCTGTTTGGTTTAGAAGTAGGATAGAGAACTTCTTTGACAGTTCTTTTTATAATGGAAGGATCAACATTTGTTGGAGTTTCTCCTTTAGAGTCTCACAATTCAGTGTCTTTCAATGTCATAAATTCTTTAAGGGGAAACTTCTGGTTCTTTTTGTTTGATGTCGAAAGAGTGTCAATCAAAGCCTGCGTATCTTTTCATATTGCTAACTGTTGTTCTAGAACTTTTTCCATATTGCCAACTTTATTTTTTTCCTGATCTTTCAACAATTTTGAAGTGTTTTTGCTTTCGAAAGAATCTTTTTGATGCTCATGAGTTGAGTCCCTATCTTTGTCCTCTTTCTGTTGAGTTGTCATTTTCTGTAACTGCTCGATAATATTTTGTTGTATCTTATCTTTCTTCTCTAAATCGTCGAGTTTTTTCTGAAGCTCTTTTATATTCTGGTCTTTCTTGCTGTGCTCCTGCTCAAGATGACTCTTTTGGCTGTTCAATATTTGACTTGGAGTCTTAGACATAAGTCTGTCATTAGCAAGCTTATCCATTTGGCAATCCTGCTGAAAAATCTGTTGATCTTTCTGTTCAATAGTTTGCTTCTTTTGATCAATTATTTTCTGGCTATTTTTAATTTGGTTGCCTTTCTCGGTGACTATCTTTGCTTTTTCGACAATAAGCTGGTCTTTCTTTTTGATTTCAGCATCTTTTTGGGAAATGAGATCGTCTTTTTGTTGGATGAGGTTCTTTGCTTCTTGTAATTGTTCAAAAATTTTGTCATGTTCAGATTTTTCGTTAATATCTTTTGATTTCTCAAGTGGTTTATAAGAGCTTTTTATGAGTTTCTTCTTAGCTTCCAGATCTCAAAACTTCATATAATTTATTTGCTTGATGTATTCTTTATAAAGCTTTGATTTAAAAATCGAGCTAAGTAACATTTTTGATTGAATTTGAATTTTAGGAATTTTTTCCCAATCATTCTCATTCTCTGCTGTTTCAAGATCATCCTTGAGTTCAATGTTATTTTATAGTATATGCTTCTAAATCAGGCAGCATTTTCTTCCACAATCCATCAAGGCTATAGGACTCTCTGAAATGATCAATTTTTGCTAGGTTATTCTCTGACAAGTTCAGCCAATCTAGTATGGTTTCAACATCAGCGATCTCTATGGAGTCTTTGTCAACATAAAGGTTGATGGCACACCTCTCTCACACAAAGACATCTTCATTGGATATGCTGTCAAGGGAGCCCTTGACCATATGGGTTACAATTCCACAGTCTTTTCGGATTTCACATTTGGGAAATTTCATAGTTGCTTGATAAAATATTATTAACCGGAATTGAGATATAAGCTTATAACGGGGTTTTGGGGTTTTGGGGTTTTGGGGTTTTGGGG